GATTTGATGTGCAGGTGGTGTAATGGATAATGGTTCGGAATCGTTACTAGGAGAGTCGAATTCCAATTTCCGTTGGGGTCGTTATATTCACCTACGCGCAAATACCCCTGGGAAAGGTATGAATGCACTTTTTTCCCCCTCAGCTATAGGTTAATTAAGAAAATTTGTATCACTAAATTTTTTTAAAAAATTCTTACAATCTAAAAATATTTCCTGGCTTTAAATAACTTGCAGAGGGTTGATAAGCCGTAACAAAAACAAATTGAATCAAGAAATCCTATTAATCTGTTAATTCGATGGAAATATTTTATTGTTTTCATTCACTTTGATTGGTAGCTAAAATCTGTGTAACTACACACACACACACACCCACACAGAAAGAGAGAGAGAGAGAGAGAGAGAGAGTCAGACAGACAGACAAATGGGCAGACAGCCAAATGGACAGAGAGAACTGGCCAGTAAGAATTAATTAAAATCTATTTATAAGTAACTATAAAGCTGTTATACTGGAACATACCTATTCTATTATTAATAGACTCTTCCACCTATAATAAGTAGTAGTAGTAGTAGCAGTCGCCAGTGAGCTCAGTGAGTTGGTGAGTCAGTCGATGTCGGACATTAAAGTATCAACCACCACAACTAGATTGCTGCGTCATTAACCATTATTTCAAGTTCCTAACGTTTTGTACGTCGAACCTTTTTAAGACCGACTTAGTGAAATACAAGCCTCCACTGTGAAACTACTCTATAACAAAAGCTAGATGGAATGTGTTGAAATTTCTAACGCAATAAAATATATTCTTTTTCTTTCCATGTGCCGTGTCCTTTCAGCACATAGGCGATCATGGCTCTCCACCTCCTTCTATTCCTTGCAGCTCTCAACAAGTTCTTTCCCTCTGCTATTTCCCCCAGACTACGTTCTGTCATCCACTTGCTTAAGACCCGCTAGGTATGTCATGCGTTGTTTTCCTTTGTCTCTCTTTCTCTCTATTCGACCCGTGAATACCAGATTTTCTAGGCCCTCTTTTCTCATTATGTGTCCCAGAAACTTCAGCTACCTCTTCCTGATGTTAAGTATAAGCCTTCTCCTTGTTTGCATCCTCTCTAAGACTTCATCATTGCTCACACGCTCGGTTTATGATATCCTTAGCATCCTTCTGTAGAACCATAGCTTCGTCGCCTTGAGTCTCTTCTTCATCTTTGAGGAAATCGTCCAACATTCGCTGCCGTAAAGAAGGACAGATTTCACGTAACAGCTAAATATTCTTTTCTTTTCGTTGCCAAAGAAATCCTCCTATCTCGCAATACCCTGCCCAGCTTTTAGAATGTGTCCTTGACCATCCTATTACGTCTACGGATCTCAGCATTTACCGCCCTGCTGTCATGAATTATTACTAAACGGGGCTTCTAATAAAGTGTGCACGTCTCTTAATTTTCAAAGTGAGGCGATCCTGAGGGAATTAGAAGTCCGACCAGGATTCATTATTGGCAGCCACAATCTTGACAACACTAGATATGCAGACGACAGTTTTAATTGCAGACACAGAAAGGAAACTGCAAAACTCCTACAGAAGGCAGTGAAAGAAAATTAAAAGAAAGGACTAAACATCAATTGCCAGAGGACAGAATGCATAGTTGTTAGCAAAAGGAACAGCTCAACATGCAAATTATAAATTGAAGATACGATAATCAAACCAGTAAAAAATATATATATATATATATCTGGGAAGTGTTTTAACAAAGGACGGAATGTGCTTCGACGAAACATCAATTGCAAAAAGACAGGAACTTGTGGAGGGCCATGTATGACTATCAGCAAAAGGAGGAGTCCAACATGCAAATTACGAATTGGGGAGACCAAAATCAAGCAAGTACAAAAATATAAATATCTTGCAAGTGTTTTAGCAGAGGACGCAAAATGTGACACCGAAATTCGAAGACGTATTGAGATAGTGAAAGATGCTTTCTTAAAACTAAGCGGAGCATTAAGAAACAGGAAAATTTCGCTAGAAACAAAGAAATAGAGTAGTGAACATAAAAGCCAAAATTTACTAAGAGCCACAAACGACAGGAAATTGTGGAGAGCTATGATCGAACACACCTTGAACTGACATGGCACATAGAAGAAGAAGACTTTTCGCCCGTTTATTCGACACCGAAATCCGAAGGCGTATTGAGATACTGAAAGATGCTTTCTTAAAACTAAGCGAAACATTAAGAAACAGGAAAATTTCACTAGAAATAAAGAAATAGAGTTATGAACGTAAAAGACAAAATTTACTAAGAGCCACAAAGGACAGGAGATTGTGGAGAGCTATGATCGCCCACACCCTGAACTGACATGGCACATAGAAGAAGAAAACTTCCCGCCCGTTTATTCGACACGCAAGAGTACTCATCGACGTCTCGATTCTTTTTATGTGTCGTGTCTGTTGGATTCATATATTTTGCATTTCATGAATACCTACATATATGTATAATCATTAAAATGCGTATCACAGATCTATGATTATCTTGTCTTTCAGCTAAACCTAGCCTTTGGCTGACAGCAGATTAAATGCCTACAACCAAATGACCCGGGTCGCTATAGAAACACTCAAACTATGATAGATGGGCACACAGCTTCCATGTCAGATAAGACCAATTTTCTGTTCTCCATTATCAAATAGTTCCATCAAAACGCAATTTGTTTCCCAGCCTCGAAAGGAGTTTGTCCGCAGGCGCAGCCGACAGAGGGAGTTAGCAGAGACAAACGTAAAAATAGAATGTCAAGTGTTAAGGTTAAAAGGTACGATGTGTTGCTTATTTAACAAGTCAGGTTACAAGTAATCATAATTCTCCACTTTGAGGAGGAAAGACGATGTCTGTTTAACCAGAAGTCAAATATCTATTGAAAGCTTTTTTTTTCCTGTATCTGGCATTGATGCACTATAAAATGAAGTAAAGGGTAGTTTGAAGTTATAATAATTTTCGCTGATTGACAAAGGCAAGATAACACTTCCTTCTCTGAGACAATGAACCCTTCCTTACCATGTCTCTCTCCATTTTCGCTTCCGCTGAACGCGGTCTGGAATTATTGTACATATCATGCTTTATTATGCTGAAGTGTCTGCTTAACTGTTTGTGAAGTGGCTGGCTGTAGTCCGAGGTCAGATATTGACGTACATCAGCGGTCAGCTGATTGTCATTATGGCTGACATTGTTAATACTACTACTGACATGCAGTGTCTGTAGATGAGTGACGAAGTTGTTGTTCCAAACACCTACAAGAGGCCGGGTTCTTCTTCTATTTGTCGTGTGTAGATGTTAACAAGGTTGTGGGGTTGGTGTGTATTTTTTAAGCGAAGGTGCGTGTGCAATATGTAAACAAAGACGATAGAAGAAACATAAAAAAATCTTGAGTTTCTGCTACGTACATTTATTTCTTTTATGTTGACTGTATCAAAACAAAGTTCAATGTCTCTTGATTATATCCTTTAGGGCGTGGGTAATCATGGCTCCCCTGTCCTTTATAGCTCTTAGTAAATTTTGTCTTTTCGTTATCTATCATGGAGGCACATTGCAGTAATAGATAGCGGCTCGGATTGAGGAATCGGAGAGCCGAGTTCGATTTCCAATCGAATCCATTACATTCACATACGTGCTAATATCCCTGGGAAAAGTATGATTCCTCTTCTTCTCCACCCCTGCGTGTAAATATAGCCTTCTAGAAATGGCAACTGATCTACTGCAAAAAGAAATGGTAGAAAAAACCTGCCTCGTCAGTCATGTATCGAAAAGATACATGATCGCCTAAGCGTGTATCACGCATGGCATATGACTGTAGAAGATATGGTGGAGTAATGGATAGTGTCTCGGATTGAGGAATCGGAGAGCCGAGTTCGAATTCCAGTCAGATCCATTATATTAACTTACGTGCTAATACCATTGGGAAAGGTATGAATCCTCTTCTTCTTCCCCCACCCTGCTATGGGTAAATAGCTGGACAGACCGGGTTCTATAGCCTTCTATAAATTGGCAACTGGTCTACCGCAGAAAGAAATGGCAACCTACTGCGGGAAAAAATCTGCCTAATCAGATACATGATCGTCTAAGCGTGTATCACGCTTGGTTAATAACTATGTGTCTACCAACCTGTTACAGAAGTTCTTCAGTTAGAGTAAACACTGTCCCCCCCCCCTTCTCTCTCTCTCTCTCTTGTTTTCAATGTTCTGTAAGTGTCAAATTCTATCTTCATTATGGACCCTAGAAATATTCAACTGTCTTTTTGATGCTAAGTATAAGTGTTCTTTTTGTTGCCATTATCTCTAAAATTTCTCGTTGCTCGCCTGTTTGGTTCATGACATTCTCAGCATCCTTCTCTAAAACCACATTTCTTCATCCGGGAGACTGTCCAGTATTCACTGCCATATAGGGAGAACTGATATTACTTAACCGTTCCCTATCGCGCTGTTTCTTCGGATTTCGGTGTCATACTTTCCGTCCGTTGTTAAAACACTTCCCTGATATTTAAATTCTCCTTCCTTGCTTTCCTTCGCGAAATTCACGTACAGCATGATCAACAAAACGTGAATGGCGTGTCGCTCGGAAACATTACCATTCAAAAAAAAAAAAAAAAAAAAAAAAAATAATAATTAACCTTCTACGCCGGCGTAATTTTTATCATTCCGAAAAAAAAAGGATTCGCTGAACCGTGTTCGAATTACTTCATATATTTCTTATGAATAGCATGAATGTATCGATCCAGGTGCCAGCTTCCATCGCGAGCTATATTCATCATAGACCCACCCCGATGTTCGACAAAAAAAAGTTATGTGTTAGTTATTATATAACCAATCTATTCTTGAATTATTACCCCACCTATCCAGACACCAAAATAGCTGATATATTCGTTGTCATCTTTGATAAACGAAAGTCCGTCAGTCGTCTGTATAATCAAATTATTAGGCGGATTTTGATGCAAAAAAAAAAACCCAAAAACGCTGTTTCAAATAAGGTTC